AGTGAAAGTCTCGAGAGTGAGTTGCGGTGGCTGAAAAAGGAGACAAGAGTGAATTGGTTCAATTAAAAGTGTTATTGATGATGAGGGTCTCCCTCGGAATTGAGTCCTCAAGTGTGTTACTTGAGACACCCATGAGAAGATATTGCGAGGCCCAAAGAAACCAATCGATGTGGCTAAGGAAGTGTCTCTGAAAGTTTTGTGATCTCTGCCATCAGCCCGGAAAATTTCTTTTAATTAAAGTAAATACGATGGTGAGTTCAGTGGAGGATGGAATATTTTCACATATTGTGGGGTTGGGAAAATGTAATTTTAAGTTTTCCCATTTATTCCCCGGGATGTTCCCCTCATTGTCTGTCTCTCCGGCATATCGTGCGTGTTTGGGGTAATTTTTGGGGGCGCAGAATGGAGCCCCAAAGAAGAAGTAAAACTTTTCACTGTGCCTCTGTGAATAACAAATTCTTAGACGCCACCCACCCACTAGCCTGCCGTATATTTCCATGTATATTGGACATTTGTGTTGCTGTTGAATCAGCATACATTTGGCTCTCTCAACATAGAATTCTTCCAGTCACACAAATATGCTCCGGCAAGACAATTTTGAACAATTCCAAGGAGGAGAAGAGACGGAAAAATTTGCTTCTTCTCCTATCTGCATATTTCCAAGAGGATTTTCCCATACAACATATCTAATAATATTCGCTTTTTCTGCTCCAAGCCCACCCTCTCTGCGCCCTACCCTCACCTGGTCTATGAATGTGCTTGAAAACATGAAGATATATTTATGATGTGGTGTCGAAGTTTTACATTACTTCGCTCAGCCAAAGAATATTCCAATGGCGTAGTTGAGGAGTTTGGCTGGATTGAAAGTGTGAGAAAAGCAATATTCTCAACAGTGTCTTCTGAATACAAATAGAAAATTATATATTTCGCTCTTTTGGGTTACAAGTAAGAAAAAAAAGCAAAATATTAATATTCGATAGATCTCTTGCGAGAAATTCTTCTCCATATCGCGCACCTTCTTGTCTCTCTTTCGAATATGCAAATCTTCCACTCTTTCGTGTGAATTCTGCGAACGAGTCAAAAGAGATTTTCCACGCGAGAATATGATTAGGAGTTCTCGTTGCTGAGGAAAACTTGTGCGGCCATTTGAGACATTTTTCCCTCTCTTTCAATCGATTTCGACTGAGTCTGTTCGCCCCTCGACAACCAACAGCGAAATGGGAATAATCCTCACCCTTCATTTTGCTGCCAAACTCTCCCTCCCTGCGCGTCTCACCAACGATACAAAAGACATAAAATGGCAATCACACTCAACAGGGGGAAAATATTAAAATTTCTGCGAATACAACTGTTGATTGGGATGAATGAGCAGAGATGGTTCTCGACGAGGCTTCCGCAATTTTCTACAATTAATCAACAGCTAATCATTGACTGCAACTTGCTGAAAATGTGCTAGAAAAGCGGTTGAGAAATTAAAAGAATGCATCCAGTTGCGCTTCAGGCACTCCTGAAGGCTGTTTTTGCTTAATTAACGATAGTTTCTAAGTCGATGACGTAGTAAGAAATGTCAACAATATTAATTACAAACTTTATGTAGTTTTTTGGTGTCATTCTCCATTTCGTTCTGTTTGTAAGTTTACAATGAAAATTTCATCTATGCGTGAGAAAAAATTAAAAATAGTCGACAATAAGGCATGGTAGAAAACACATCACATCCCTGTCGTCTACCTAATTTCCTGCTGCCGCAGCGAGAGGGTGAGTTGAGGCGGCAAAGAGGAGGCGAAATGCGATTTTAAGATGGAAATTTCGAGGTACTCAGAAGTGCATTATCGACGGTGTCTCAGCCACACAACAGCAAAGTGGTTGACCTCTGAGGAAGCGTCTGGACGAGATAGCATTGAGGTGCAGAAGGGAGTTCATCGCCGCGCCATTCATTAATCACACGCCACTGATGGCGGTTGGCCGCAAAGGGATGCTGCCATGGCAGAAAAATCGACCATCTTGGGCATGGGAAGGTGAAGAGGAAGAAACCTGCTCTGTGGAGCCATGCTGCGCGAAGATGCCGCACAGTGGTAGACAGAGACGGAGAAATGCAAACAATTATGGCTGCTGATGACTGTTCTGATTCCTTTCCTCCGCATCCCTTCGCACCTCGCCCATGTGGAGGGTTGGATTTGCGTATTGGAGCGAATTTTCTGCTGACCAGATGTGTTTGCGGAGGATTTAAAATTTCGCCAGTGTCACGCTTTTTCCAGTCATCAGCAATTTTCCATCAATTTCCCCAAACGGCAATCTCTCCGTTTTTGGCACTCCATCGACAGGAAGAGCACACGCAAACCGTTTTTGGGGAGCGCACAGGAAAAAAAGTGCATAACTCATGCCATTATGACGTGTTCTTTGTTGGCGAAATTGCAAGGCAAGTGAACGTGACGAAATTGCTGATCGCAGCCAGAGAACATATCACATCGTACACATTAATAAGTTATGAATTCCTCCTGGAGAGACATGCTGAGGTGCTTCTCGAGCATTCTCGATGATGGACGAAAGTTTCGGCTGAAAGATTGAAATCTTGGGGCGATAGGAAATGCTGATGAACACGAGGAATTTGGCTGTGAATGAGCGGCGATTTGGAATTTCAAGAAAACAAGTTTAAGTGGAGGAAAGATCAGAGAAGAAACACCTGAGAATATGTGCCTAAGTGTATGTAGATGAGCCAAAATAGGAATGATTAAGATTAGGTTTTGTGAAATTTAGATCTTCATTTCCTTATATGTATATTTATAAAAATTAAAGTGCGCTGATTGGCTATAGTTCAACGTATAAATCCAGTTTGAGAGCTAAGATGGAATTCCGCGGAGATGAAACACATTTATTCAATTGTATCAAATTAATTATACATATGTTTCTCAGAGTAAACTATACAATTAAACCGGGAGAAAACTTGTGTACATAAACACTTTTCTCTACTCCGAATTAGCAATTATAACAAATAACTTACAAAAATATTACGTATAATGTTCGAGAATCCATTTCTAATGAAAACTAATTTTTCAACTAATTACTTTTGCCAAGAGAATAATTAAAGAGTCTTACTTTTTAACCTCTAAAGATTTTCTTAAAACAAGGCTAGGAAATATAAAAACGCATCGTTTTATAGACCAATATATGAATAACGCGGTAAAGTCGATGCGAATTATATACAGAATACTTTTTCATTTCATCTCGGCATAAGAACTGCAGTAACTTTTCAGAAATTTATGGGAAAAATTGAATCTCCGAACCTAAACGTACATTTGAGGTCACTCTCTCATTTGTGGAAAACAATGCGAGAATGGTTGAGAAAACACCATAAACAATCCCCTAATGGCGAAAATCACGTGGAAATTGTCGCCTGGTGTGAATCCCATGGGCGGGCACGAGCTTAATCTCCCCGGCGTGCCAATGGCCGAGGGGAGACCTCACAAAGGCGCTCCGAAATTGCAATATTTGCGCGATAATCGCTGCAATTATACGCAATGCTCGGGCATGAATGTTTATGGCGTGCAGTGTGTTATTAAAAATGATCACGTAATGTCTTGCGGACTCTCCTTGGTCACTCCTGGAGGCCGGACTCCTTTCGCCGGGGTCAAATCTCGGTGCACTTCGAGGGGGTGCGTCTTGAATCCAATTTCCATGATTGTCCCCGACCGATGGCGGTCCGTTCTGATCGATTTACTTTTATTGGTGTGTAAAATGGTCGGTTGGAGTGTGAGAAAAGCGAACGTTTATAGCATGTTTATTTTCCTGAGGCACACTTTTCATGGGGGCCCCTCGTGGAAGTCCATCACGGAGTGCACTCTGCCGGCTCTCTCGCCTTTGTGGTGAGAGAGTGGGAGAGCAAAAAGAAACCACATGTGAGCTGTGTGAGAAATGAAAGACAAGAGCAAAAATTTATCTGAATGTTTATTGTTATGTGTGCAATATTAAATATTTGTAAAAGTTGCTTATAAATTGATGCGGAATAATTTACACAATTGCATTAATGTCTTGTCAACAATTCATTTTACCATCAAGACTTCTAATTAAAATTTTGCACAAGCTTTTTGGCGCGAGCTGCTGTCTCTCCTTTCATCTTGCATTCGCGAGTGGTGAGAGCCTTTTTTTATTTTTAATCTGCGCCAATGCAAATGAGCCATATTTGCGCTTTCAAGTGGCCAATTAGTGAGATAAAATTCTCATTACGGTCGCAATTTGCCAAATTCCATGCGCCAGGATCGCAATGGAGGGAAACTTCGTCTCTATGTTACCGACACAAAGCTCTCACCGGCGAGACAAGAGATGGCACCAGGCGCTCTATTTCCTACTGGAATCTCCCTCGAACCACCCTTGAGCTTCCCCTTTGTTCAGCTTTCAACCCGACTGTCTGCCTGTGAAACCGAGAGGGTAGAAAGCCATGCAGAGACATTGCTCGCATCGGAACTTGCGGCCTTTCATCCCATCGCATGAGCATGCAGAATGATTTTTTCGGAGAATATTCCGGGCCGAAATGCGTCGAAAATTAAATTAAATTTTCATTTTTATCAAAATTCATTAAATTTGTGCTGAGTGGCAGCACCATATCATTATTTTCGTCCCTAATTATCACTCTTTATTTATATATTCTAATAATAAATGAGAGGGCACACAAGAATCTCGTTCGAGTCGTAAAACTTTTACGACTTTTTAATGGATATACTTGCCGCGACTTTTTTTCTCCTCTTATGTGTTGTTTCCATAATTTACAAAGTCACTCAAGAGTCCGCATTGGTGAATAAACATTTACGCGGGATGGCATGAGAGGCTGAAAAAATAGAGCCAAATAAATTGAAATTCGATTCAATATAGCGAGAGATGCCCACTTGAGATGCTGAAGAAGCTTTTTATTGAATATGCAGGGACATTTGAAAGGTCATAGGGAGCTTTCGTGGCATCTTCCATTGCCGCAGGTATTTAATTTGCATTTTTCTCTTTTGCACTTTCAGATGCATTCCGGCAGATGTGGTGAGTGAAATTCCGTTCATCGCCTCAAGGCGCGTCTCAAGGATTAAATGCGAAATCATTCGATAAAGATCACCCTCTGTTCCCGAGTCCTGCAAGAAGTCCCTCGAGCTGGATACTCGAGTCTGTCGCTTTGAGAAGTGTGAATAATGTGACAATACAAACCCTCAATATTATAAGCAATTTAACGCCCAATGAATTGATATAGCAATAGCAATAATCGTAAGGCCTGGGAGGAAAAAAGGCAGCCAGGAAAAAAAGTCCTCGGATGTGGCAGGAAAAGTCACCTCTCGTGGCATCCTCTCTCGCTCTCTGTTGCGCCCGAATGATGAGAAATCATCCAAGAGAGACACGACGAGCCCAAAATGGGCGTGGATTATGTGAATATCTCAAGTAAATGCATTTTATGTTGCTATAAAACCTAATGTGTATGACTGAAATGGCGATAATGTCATAATGAAGAAGGTGAGAGCTTTAAGTGTATGCATTAAGTTTCAGTCAGGCGTCGCAGTTGGTTAGACAAGGATGCCACTTCTGCACCGCAAGAGCGAGAGATCCATCGCACGGTGCCATTTGGCGACGAGTGATAGAGCGGGATGGGTGTATGATGAGTGAGATGGCTGAATGGTGTGAAAATTTGATGCGGAAACCCTCATGGATCGGATGAGTAAGTGAAATGACTGAGTGAATTGTTTGATGGGTGCGAAGAGGAAGAAATCTGGCTACTTGTTTACAATTATAGCTATTTGTATGGCAACACTATCAACTAGAAAGAGATAAAATCAAGTGTTATATGCCCTTTTGCGCCATGAATATTGCACAGTGCAGCCGGTGAGCAGTCAGCCAATTGCCGGTGGCGTGTACCTGAGCGAGATGCGAGATGTTCTGGCATCTTGCGTACCTGGACTTGACTGAGTCCTTCCCAGTGAATTTGCCAAAATGCAGTTCCTTATTTGCCCATGCATTCAATTGAAAATATAGGCTAGCCTTCAACTCTCATCAAGCACACGCCAATGGATGGGTGCATTTTGGGTCATTCTGCTCATCAGACGCGGTGACAATTGGAGCAAATGATGCATCGCATGAGCAAATTGCCTCGCAAGTGCATCTCCATTGTGCATTGAAGTTTTCCACCAGAGTGGAAGACCCGAGGAGAGAAAGAGACAGAGTCTCGGTAGCTGAAAGCTCTCTGTACTTTTCACACACCCTCAAATTCCCTTAAAATTCCCAATTATGCACCTCAAAAGCATCCTTCCGACCACCCCAAAGCCCTCGCGGGCCCCAAATCCTGCCCTCGAGACCGGAAAAGCACCCCAAAATAGCTCCTGTGCGAGCCTAGAGCGCGTGTGTGCGAGCGAGAGGGCGCGAATTCGATTCCAACACGAAAATCAAACAGTGCTCGTTTTCGAGAGTTTGCCATAACGTCAGACAAGAGCAGATATCATATCTTGGGTGCGGGAAGGAAAAAAAAGAGCCTCAGTTGCTCGGCGTGCGCTGAAGTGAGAACGACAGAGGCCACGGCGCGGTGCTTTAAGCGAAATCGTGCAGCTTTTGTATTGTGTCATAAACGAACTACTTCTCATAACGTAAACAGCTTCGGACTAATACGATCGAAAAAGTTGTTTCGCCCCAAATCGCCTCGTTTGCAAGACAGCCCCACACTGTTGCATCGTTTCATTTTTATATTTATTGTCCCTCTCCCGGTATTTCTGCAGCTGGGAAAGCGTCTGTCCAGGATTTTCACGGAGAAATAAGCAAAGAGAGTTTTCTCATCGACATGCAGACACTCTGACGGCATTTTTCCTGTGACTTGTGATCGCGGGAGGATTTTCCGCGGTGAAGTGATTTCCGTTTGTGAGTCAGTGCTGAAAAAGAGTGGTGAACTCAGGGAGGTAAAAGGTGAGAGCAGAGACACTAAGCAAGAGGAATCCACGTGCTTCGGAGGCAATAAAAATGTTGAGGGTTGTTAAAGTCATATTGTTTTATTATGGCTAAATTTAATGGTCAGTTGAGTACAATTGCGTCTCTGGGAGTGTGCCGAGAGTCCGTGAGATTGGCAGGCAAATGAATCAACTGTGGACAATGTTTGACACAGAACTGTGAGCCTCTGGGCCATCGGGAGTTGGCATGATACAGTTGTGCACTTGAGAAGAGAGACTCCATCACTGAAGGAATCACACACTTTATGACGATATTGCAGTCATAAAATTAATTTCTTTTATTGCCATCTGAGTGACACATGAGACGCTGAAGCATTTGGAGGAATTGCGTGATCACTGGTTGAGAAAAGACAAGAAGCAGCTTGAGGGTGTGCAAGAGAATCACCCCAATCACGGAAGACGCCGCAAGTCTATTGGCGAGAGAAGAAAAATAGCACCTGCCCATTGAGAAATCATCAGTTAGCATATTGTTGATGACCCAATAAAAATTTTTTACTGGCTGTTTACACTGTGGGCAATAAAGGCAAGCAAGAGTCTTACCCACACCGATATTTACAAGCACGCCAGAGAAAATATAGTTTGCCACACAATTGCCCAAGGAGAGATATCAGACAAACTGGGAGAGAGCTTTCAGCGCCTCGTGGAAAATTGTGGACTGTGTTGAATAATCTCGAAGAAGCCACAAGAACCGTATAAACAAGTGACTGTTGTGAAAAAGACTCGAACGAAGTGAGTAAAATCTTTGTTTATCCATTAACATCTAATGTATTAACACACCGGGATGAGAACCTCAGCTCTATTCTAATTGCAAATAATTTGAATGTTGCTCATCTACTAATACCCACAATCTCTTATAAAGAAGAGTGAGACTCTATCCAATTAACTTTTCGCCGAGAAGATTGTACCCGAAAAAGCGCACGCAAGGAGGCATATTAATCCAACTAATAAATAGTATGTGCGATGTCAAAATTCCTCTTTGATAGTATGCTACCAAAGTACTCACAGTTCCAGTCACTCATAAGTTCCCAAATTTCCTCGCAAACCCCAACTGTGTCACAGACGCCCAACTCCGAAGGCAGCCCCCTCGCAAGCTCCGAAGGAAGCCCCAGCTCGCCGCCAACTAGTAAAATGTACCCCTATGTCTCTAATCATCCATCGTCGCACACAAGTTTGTCTGGCATGCCGGGATTCTCTGGCCTAGATGATAAATCGTGCAGGTAAGCGCAGCGGTCCGTGGTGGTGAGCTTTTGCCGTCGGCACTCACTGTGGTTTGCTCCTTTTTGCAGATACACTGAGAGCATGATGAACACTTATCAGTCCATGGGTGTGCCGCCGAGTGCGTCCAGCTTCGCACAATTCTACCAAGCCGCTTCCGCCGTCTCCGCCGCATCCGCCGGCGCCATTGGGGTTGGGGTGGACTCACTGGGGAACGCCTGCACACAGCCCTCGACCGGTGTTGTCTCCACCGGCGGCACAGGGCAGACCATCACCGACATTCCACGATATCCCTGGATGACGCTCACAGGTACGTGGCATCTTTCCAAACACCCATGCTAAAATAAAACCGACGATCCTCACAGAGTCCAATGGAATTCTTCACAATTCTGGCATTTCCACCCATAAATTCTATGCGTGCTCTAGCCTAGAGCTGAAACTAGACTCTGTGCCTGCGGGGCATGGCCACAAACACGGAAGCCAGTGCCTCACCCACATGTAAAGTGTTTAATGTCTTGTTAGTAATGCTGTACAGGGTGGTGGCGAAGGCTCAGAGGGAAATTATGTAAGCATTGAGAGCAATTAAAGTCGAGACTTTTGTATGGTTCAGTGGAGATTAATAATAATAATTCGGGTGGCCAAAAAGTGTCGCACTGTAGCACACATTTTTCTCGTCTGATGGCCCCATTTCTGCGTGTGGGCATGTCTCAGTATGTCTGTGAAAAAAAGTCAGTCGGTGTGTTTTCACAAAATTTGACATGAATTATCATTTGGGCACTCACTACCAACACATGGTGACAGTGTCTGGAGGAGGAAGTGACGAGAGAGAGAGAAGCATAGAAGACTTGTAGTAAATTAGTCAAATGGCTGTGGCGATACTGAGAGAAACGTCGTGTGACATTGAACTTGAGGCTCAAAATACAATTTTGGGGCGATCAGTCGATGGGGCCGCAGGGTGTGTGGAGCATAGGCAGCATGGGCCACCCTCGATTGCCGCCCTCGGGGGAGGACGGGTGACTTTGGGGCGCAAGACGAAAAAATTGCGACTTATACAAATTTTCCGTCTCATAGAGCGTCGCCATAACACTTTCGCATCGGCCATCGAGGAACCCCATTGTATGGCCTTACAAATGTCACACCACATAACATTTTCACTCTCATCTCGCCACCCTCTCCTGCAAAATGCCGTCGGTTGTGCAATTGTGGAGAGTGATGTGAAAAATATTGACTCGAACGCACCATAAAGCTCCTGCGAATCGGGGTTGGGGCGGTAAAAGCTCGCACTATACCTCGGCAAAGCCACTCGAGGGAAAAGAACTCTTTTCCGGGCACAAAAAAATTACAAATGGGCGTCATTGCGAGGAAAAATTCACCCCCTATTCCGGGGAGGAAAATTTTTTTTTTTCGGGTGGTGCAGAAGATGAGGCATAGAAAAGCTATGAAGACATAGCGAAGAAAGTTTCTCCGCTTCGGGGATGGGGCGGTTGGCGAACACGATAGAATGAGGAGACGCGAGAGGACTATATGGGCAATAGTAAAAGCAAAAATTTATTATAAAACAAACCATAACAGTAAAATAAATCTATATTGTCCCATTTAACTGGTTTTTATTAAGAAAATTACGTCTATATGCAGAGGAAAATGACTTTTTTCATAGCCCAACAGAGTCATTTTTATAAACAAACCCGCCACATACGATGCCTCTGCACGTGGTGAGAGTCACTATTTTAGCGCCCATCGACACTAAAGCGCATAGCTCAGGATGATTGTTACGATGGGTGTAGGAGAAATGGCCAAAGAAACCACCGTCAGAGTCATCAATGAAGAGACACACTTTTATGCTGTGGACTTCACATGATTTAAGGGGCGCCCATGGCACGTAAAATTGAAATGCAGCGGGGTGGAAAAAAAATGGCTAAACACACAATTTCTCATCCTTACAGCGATAATCGCCATGTTATTAGCCATTTTGACATTGTCATAAAATTGATTTAATGACAGCGAATGAGCTGCAATGGAGATGCAAAAAGGTATCAAAGATCGTGTCTAAAAAAAGAATGTTGGAAAATATTCAAATGGTTTTCATCTTATACGAAAAGCCAAAGTCATAACTTAGGCCTTCGTGGGTGATTTCTGCCCTCATTTCCATCTGTATCGCGCTCTCCTCAATCAATTGTGGATGATTTTGGGATGAAATCCATACATTTAGACACTCCATTAGCATACAAAATATCTTTCTCACTCTACCACATTGTGTGTGTTTAGACAAGCCGAAATGGCCCGTTTAGAATCTCATTCGCGCCCATCGAGTGGCTTTTCTGCTGCCACAAAACGGAAATAGATTGGAAATGCTTCTCTGTGCGCAATTCAGGGAGAGAATCTCTGGCTGCTGTTTGGCATTATTTATAAAAAGTGATATTTCACGGATTTTTTCAATCACCAATTGACGTGTGGTTAAAGTCATGTGCGAATGGCCAATGTGCCCAATTCCAGTGGCAGCCAATTGATTGCGTGTATTTGTATTTCTTGAGAGATAAATTTTGTGGAGAAATTGCCAGTTGAATAGTTCCAGGTGGGAATTCCACCAGGCGTCTCCATCTCCGATACCTGTGCAGCTTATGCATCTTGGCAATTTGTGGGTCCACAAAGCAAGGCGTATGAAAAGTGTGGCCTTAATAATTTACAGAATTTCCGAAAGCATTCCATTGAAGAAAGCACGTGAAGAGGAGCAGAAAAATCACTCGAAATATGATTGAGAAAAATACACAGAAGCCCCCACTTCTTCACATTACACTAATTTTTGTGGGGCTATAACAGTAATAAAAGTCAAATAATGGCAATAATCATCATAATTTGACATGGTGATTTTTTTCTCTCTCTTTATTCCGCTTTCTCACTCACTCAACGTGCGACTCAAGTGATTGTGAGCAAAATAGAGGCTACCACATTTTAATTAATCATCCTCATACAAAGTTATATACGCATTTTGGGAGCGTGTGTTAAGGAGAGATTTGGCCGGCGTGTGTAAAAGAGTTGGGCCTGTGTGTGAAAAAATTGTACAATAGAGGAGCATTCCGATGAAAAGTGCGTGATAATATGTTTGTTAACACACCAATTTGGTGCTCAATAGTGTCGTGACACGACACATTAAAAATGCCCCTGTCGTTTGCCTAAAGATTATTATTTCTATGCGAGTGAGAGAAAAGCCTCATTACATTGGCAATTTATCAGGCGGCAAGACTTTGGCAGTGGGTGCAATTCTCGTGAGAGATATTTCATGATGGGGATAAATTATAAAAGAGCGTTTAGCATTTGTTAATTATCATTTGAGAGTCTGTGTGGTTATTGTAAGTAAATCGTTTGAAGTTTATATTATGTTTAGTGTTCGCGCGGAGTGTGTTGGAAAAGGAGAAAAAGAGAGGAATGTGATTTTTTTTCCACTGCGCTCTGTGTGAAAAAGATCAATTTGTTTATTTTCTCAAGCATAAACTCCTCAAATTAAACATTTAACCACAACCCAGAGCAATTTAAAATAAACAGGATATTTTGCCTCCACCCCCTCACGAAACGCCCATTCTGAGGCACTGATGGGGCTCATGAGAGGTGATATTCTGGAGAAATGGATTCTGTGAGGATCTCTTCGCATTTAATTGAATTCCCCTTTATCACCTTTTGATGGTGAGAATTAACACAATTTCTTGTTTTTAGCAGAGTGGATGAACGGACCCTTCGACCGTGTCGTTTGCGCTGATTTCAATGGTAAGTTCTGGTATTTAGCATTTTTAATCATACACTCTCCCTCTTCCCGGCCTCATAAAAGCCCCACGGCTATGATGTAGTAAAAGTTGTTGATATTGGCGCACTCTGGGTGAACCCTTTCAATCAAAACGCAAATGGGAGAGCGAGAGGGCCCATAAAAGAGGGCCTTCCAGAGGCGCATCATCTCGTGACATGGGTAAAAAGTCCGCGCTGTGAAGCATCTTTTGCGGCATGTCTGATAAATTAGACACCGGAACACATAAAATAGCATATAATAGTGATTTTTATGGTATATCTGAGGCAATTGACATTTTAAGAATCTATTTTACGACTTTTTAATGTGCTTTCTTCCCCACTCCACTTCTCAAACTGATGCATCGAAGGCCCTCCCAACACTTCTCACATGTCCTCTGGAACAGCCATGAGAATCACTCTCTGTTTCTCAAAATGTTTTGATTTGCGTCTCAAATAAAACTTTCACGTCGTAAAATATGTCACCCTTTCGTGTTTAGGAGACAATTTCCATTTCTATTTTTTTTTCTCCCGAACACATCAAGTAAAAAAATACGACACCCAGGGACGAAGGATTGCCTGAATTCCGTCCGTGGCTGTAAAACTTTCAAATAGTTTTATAACCTCACGGCGATATTGTCTGAACCCTTCCTTACTTTCACCTCTTCCAGCTGCGAAACATTCTTCCTGTGGCGTTTTCCTCACCTGTAGGATTTCGCAAGTTTTTTTTTTATTTTATTTTCTCTCCCCTGAAAGAAAGTAGAGAATGCTTTGAGATAAGAGACGCATTGAATATGAACATTATATTAGCTGGGATTTCTTTACCATGTTCACTTTATATGAGACACTAAATCTCTGGAACGTTTGCTAGGCCGAATAGTGATCAATTTTGTCAATATCTTCTTAGAAAGTGTTTAAAACTCACCACGGTTTTTTTGCTGGGAAAGTCTCCAGGGAAATTTGAGGGTGGCCGAAAGAAGGGGTAAATGGAAACAATATTATCGTAAGACAGTGTTATGAACAAATCTCGCAATTTACAATTGGCAATTTATCGTGGTTTTATGCGGATAAATTTCACCCTCGCTGCAATTCACCATTTTGCAGCGAAGCAACAAGAAGGGTTGGATGGTTGAAGATGATGCAAAAAGTGCCAGAAGGGTTCCCATAGTCAAAAAGACGAGGGGTGTGCAACTGTACATCATTTTTATCCTCACGATGTGTCAAAACAGAGAGGAGGGCTTCAAGAGTGTTGGGAAATGGCCGCGAATGACGGCCTTTGTGTGTCTGTAAGAATGATTCCTCAGAGAGACATTAAATGCAACTTTATTCTTCGTTCATTCATAGGCCAATTTTTTCATCTCACTCTCAAGTGTCTCATAAATAAGTAATATAAGTGGGAAATGCGCCATGAGGCGGGCAAAGAGGCCCTTTCTGCGATTGAAGTGTTAAAAAGACCCACCAAGAAGTTTCAAGAGAAGTTTCATAATTTCATTGAGAGACTTTTATTGCGTCATTTGCCATCTAATGCAAAACTATCGATTGTTGGGCGCGAGAGCGACAATGTCGGACTGAAATAGGAGGTATTTGCATGAAATGCTCCCATAATCGTGCTCAATGGCTATTCACTCACTTTGTTACCAATTGAAAATGGCCAACAATTAACATTTTGTCCCCATAATTGCAATTACACTAAATAGCGACAGTTTCACTCGCGTAAGATAAGACGGAGAGTTATTTGCTATGAGCAATATTATTGTAAATATTCCAGCTCTGGTGCGAGAAAAAAGTGTGTTTGAGGGCAGAAATGTTGAATATTTTACACGATCTCTTGCCCATGAAATTTTCACATCACTCTCGCCATGCGTCAGTGAAAATGGGTTGCTCGGGCGATTCCTTATCGGGAATCGCACGCATGTTTCACGCCAGTGATTTCTCAATAATAAAGTGATAATTGAAGGATTAAGAGATTCATGATGCGTGTTTATTCAAAATTCTCCAGTTGATGCACTGAATTTCCTGCCAAATGAAACTGCAAAGCACTGAATATTTCCCTATACAATATTGCCAATTAAATTGAGTCATTGGCGGCAATTTATGACGGAACTGATATCATCATTCGTATGGGATTTTTCTCTTGCGGTCCAGTCGCTTTTCCCAGTTTCTTGTGAGTGAGCAAGAACAATTTTTTGCAGTACTTTATGTCTGTGGGCAAATTGTACAGAATCACCACTGAAGTGTCTCTTGAGTTAATGGCCGCAATCACATTAATTACTTTATACGCCATTGATGATTGTTGAGATAGAAAATAGCAAAGAAAATACCGCTGCAGAGGATTCACTTTTAATTGGGATCGCAAATTTTCAACAGCACAGAGGAGCGCATTTTCATGGTAAATTGGGAAATAAATCAGAACCGCATGATATTTTATCTTAAGCAGTGCGCGAGTGGGTTCGATTGTGGTAAAAGGCGGCCCATAAATTCCGCGATGCTCGTAAATATTCTTATCCTCCCTCCGCCGAGGGGAGAGATAAGAGTGTTGCCCCGAAAAAGGGGTGGCAAGAATTTCAATTAAATCGAGACATAATTTATAGTTTCGCTCCAGCCACTCGCAGTTGTCGCGCATCTTAAGACAGAGCAAGATACTGGATTTTGCATGAAGTTTTAAGTGATTTCCACTGTAAATAGAGTGATGATATCAGTGTCATATTTTGAGGTGCTCTCGTCAGTGGTGTAGTGAAAACTTTCATGAGGAGGAAATACGCATTTTGGCTTTATTCAATAAAAACTCTCTGGCAATTCGCGCGATGGCGCTACGCCACTGTCTTTAGCCACAAAGAGACTTTGTAAATGCTCCCCGCCAGGTCTCCGGAGAGTCAGATTTTTAATTTACTCCTCAAATGGAGTGTCTCTCCCTAGGCGGGGGCCACCATAAATTTCCCACAGAAAGCGTCCTTTTATTGTCTCCTTCGCCCTCAAAAATTTTACGATCTCCCCACAATTTTTCTGGCCATCCTCCGAGTTATTAACACCCAGTCCACAGTGTCCAGAGGAAATTTTGCAGATTCAGTGGATTGCTCAAGTGCGTCTCGGGGGTTTTTATTGTATTTTTCTTGGGCCCATTTCTCTTCTTGGCCCCATATCAATTTGAGATGCGTGAGTGAGATTAAATACGGCCAAGGCAAGCAATATTAATTTCTTTGATAAACACAACATTTATACCACATTTGGACCCGCCATGGCGGAACTGAAAAAGACTCCCCATTCCCTGCTCAAAGTGCGGCCCAAGGGTCGATGAGCAGAGCACAAGGAGGAAAAAAAAGTAACGACAGAGAATGTTAGTGAATTTAACGCTTTCGCTTCCCAATTGCGCTCGGGAGATAAATTCAATGTTTTCTAATGCCATTTGGAGGGCCTTCTCGGCCCCATCGGAAGACTCCGTCATTCGTATTTTATGACTTATTTACGATCTGGCCACAATTGCGATCCGCATCTCAGCCATAGAGCGATTCGATTTTCCCTCCGAAAAAGGAGCGACCACAATTCGTCCTAGACCTCCTCCTTCGCTCCATAGTCACCATCAGAGAACATTGTATTGAAAAATTCGCACTGTTGTGCACATTTTATTGGCATCACACAAATTATATTTTCTCTCTCAACCCAGCAAAACAGAATGACTCTCATTCATTTGACTTGTCTCGTAGTCACTCAAAAGAATTTATGTACTTGAAGTGATTTAAATCATAAATTTCTCTCTCTCTCTCTCTGTTTTTCAGCACTCCTTTTTCCATAGTATTTGAAAACAGCTCCTCTGTGGCTTGAGATGTGGTTGAAAAAAAACCGCTGAACTAAAACATGCAAAAGCACGTTTTTAATTATATTTTCCATCTCTGGACTAAAGTGATTTATGGCACATAATTATGTGGCATGCACCAAGGTTGAAAAGTCTTGTTTCGAAACTTTAATGGTATCTCTCACTGTCTAACAAATTGCTTGGGAGCTTTTTCCACGCCAACAGAGACGAGAATTTATTGAGATTGAAAAGCTTGTAGGTTAAATTAAGGTGATAATGTCTGTGACAGGGAGACAGAAAGGTTCTCAGAATTTTGTCGGTGAAAAATTACACGGCTCACAAGTTGCAAGTTTCGAAGGTTTCCTCTTTTTCTCTCTACAATTTTACCAACTCTGGTTGCGTGAAGGAGACAGAAAAGGTAATTCTTTCCTCATTGGCCCCCCTTTTTTTCCTCTCGCTCTCTTTGTGAAATATATACGTTTCCCTTCGACGGGGGGAGAGTGAAAGATATACGGAAAATTGTGGCACGAAGGGAAAAGCGCCCTCGAAAGCGAGAGGCCTAGACCGAACAGCCTAATAACAATATAGACGTCGAACAATCCCCACTGTCGAGCGGCAATTGCAAATTTCGTTAAGCATAACGAGTTGTTCGTCGGCGTTAAATCCCATCGCACCATCCAACCCCAAAGCAGGGCTTCTCTGTCAACTCTCATGTGAGACAGAGTGTCAAAAATATCTCCTCGAAATTGAATACTCCGGCTGGAGGAGTGTCTGAAAAGTTTCTCGGCACACTTTCAGGCATACTCGAGCTTTTGATCAAATTGGAGGGAAATTAGTGGAGAGATTTGCCCCCCTCAAATGGGGGTTGATTCTTCCTGTGGCACGAACCGAGGGGTGGGCTTGGAGTGCCGCTGCATAAAGCAGCAAGTATTGATCGTGTTTTATATCCCCCCGAAAAATTTCGCGCATGGACAATATGCGCAATTTTACAGGGTTGTATTTCGATGATGGTGAACCTCCATTTCCTCCTGGGGAAATTAAATCATGAGAACCGTGCCATCAGATTCTGAAATGTCGCTTTTTCCCATCGTCCGCCCAGACCGGCCAAAAACACCATAAATTCTCGATGGACAAGACAGCCAGAAAAAAAGAAGCACCAGAGGGACTAGAGAACCCGATATCGCGCTTCAGCAATAAT